GCGATGTTATTAGAGATTATCATGTGATGAGCTGATTTTACCTCGGCATTGAGATCAGGGAAAGCGTCTCGCAGGAACTCCAGCTTCCTCCTCTCCTTCCTGTTGAGATTCCCGCTCCCCGCTCCGTCGCCACGACAACCGTCGCCGCCGGCGTCGTCGTCATCGTCGTCACTGCTGTTAGCGATGCGAATGCGACGTCTCTTCACGGGTTTCACGCCGGAATCCGACATGGAATTATCGCTGTCGGAACGCACTCTCCTAATTCTACCTGTGGAGCAGGAGTACATTAACAACTGTATATTAACATAATAACAGCAGTACATTAACAATTGTACATTAACAACTGTACATTATCAGCTGTACATTACACATGTTACATTATCACTGGTACATTAACAACTGTACATTAACAACTGTACAATATCAGCTGTACAATATACGTGTTATATTATCAATGGTACATTAACAACTGTACATTAACTGTACATTAAAAACTGTATATTACCAATGTACATTAACAACTGTACATTACGATCAATGCAAAATCAGCTCTACAATAGCTTATAGAGCATTATTAGTTTTACATTATCACAGTCACTTGTACGATATGACCAGTATAATATCAGGTGTACAATATTTTACATTATAAGGAGTACAATACCAACTGTATAATATTAATGCTACATTATAAGGAGAACAATATAAGCTGTATATTATCAGTAGTACAATATATCAGCTGTACAATATTAATGTTACATTATGATCTACATAATTAGCTGTACATTATCAGCAGTACAAAATCACTCACTCGTTGATGCCAGTGACGCCCTGTGATACGGTGATGTCATCAGCTCTGGGAGGTCAGGGGTCAACTCATCGTCGTCGCTCCCGACGATGGTCCCATGATCACTGGAACGCATGTCAGAGTAAATATGTGATTAAGGAAGGTGCGAGAACATGACGCACATACATGCACACATGCGCATGCATGCACACATGCACGCACGCACGCACACATGCACACGCACGCACGTATGCACGCACACACACACACACACACACACACATGTACCCATGCACGTATGCACGCACGCACACACACACACACACACACATGTACCCATGCACGTATGCACGCACGCACACAAACATGTACCCATGCACGTATGCACGCACGCACACACACACGCACACACACATCAGAAACCCAAACGCATACAGAGACACCTTTCCACCCACGCACACATGTCAATATTTAGAGCAGAATATAGGTTTAGAGCGTACGTTTTAGGTAGTTCATCGTTCTCGGAATCTGAACTGAGTATCACTGGTCTCCTTCTTCCCGACTTTCCCTCTCCGACCGCGGGGCTGACTACGGCGGCGGCGGCGGCGGCGGCGGCGGCGGGGGAGGAGCGGGAGATACACGCCACCTTGTCTGAAACGATATCAACAGATCTACAATCAGCATGTGAAGAAACATCAGGTGAAGGAGCCGCGTATATATTACTCGTACTAATGTACTGTTAGGATGTTAGAGTAGGCTTGACCAAATTTAGTGAGTGTTATAATAATAATAACAACAATAACTATTATAATCATTATTATCATTATTACTATTATCATAAATATTAATATTATTATAACTAAAATTATTATCATTAGTATTAGCATCAATATCATCACAATTATTACTATTAATATTATCACTATTATTATTATTATTATTATTCATATCATCATCATCATCATCATCATCATCATCATCATCACCATCATCATCATCATCATCATCATCATCATGATTACATCACGCACCGCTTCCGTCGCCGCGACCAGTCGTACAGGATGCCAGCTTCAGCGCATACTGAGACAGATTCTTCTTCTCATAGCGAAACTTCTGTAGCAGGCTGGGAGACTGCATGACCTGTGTATTATACATAGAAGCCTAGAGTTATAACACACACACACACCTACTCACACACACGCACGCACACATGCACGCACACACACACATGCACACACACACACAAACTTCTGTAGCAGGCTGGGAGACTGCATGACCTGTGTATTATAGACAGTAGCCTAGAGTTATAACACACACACACACGTACTCACGCACACACACGCACACATGCACACACATGCACGCACACACACAAACTTCTGCAGCAGGCTGGGAGACTGCATGACCTGTGTATTATACATAGAAGCCTAGAGTTATAACACACCACACACACGTACTCACACACACACACATGCACACACACACACAAACTTCTGCAGCAGGCTGGGAGACTGCANTATTAATAGATGTATTAAATGTAATAAATGTAGATGTGTTAATAGTTGGCTTTGCTTTTCTCTGCAGGTTCGTCAATTCTATCGTGTATTACGGCATATCACTGATCATAGGCGACTTGCCTGGAAACCCGTACCTGGTGTTTGCCTTGATGGGTCTTACGCAGATACCAGTGGATATCATATCATTTCCCTTCGTCCAAAGGTAATAACAACCTTATGCCTTAGTGTGCGGTCTTTTGGAGAATAATAGGAATTTAAATAAACGTGAACCAGGCTTCACTAAATATAGTGTATAGTTTAGCTTGATGAAGCTTGCATTCGTGAATAAGGTATGCGCATCGTTAATCTAACGTTTATTAATTTTATAACGTTAATTAAACGTTTGTTTACAGATATGGTCGAAAGTCGTCCATTATCATTTCCGACGTACTAGGCGGTGTTCTTCTCTTTGTATCCGCATTTCTACCAAGAACCACGAGTAAGTAAATATACAGGTATATGAACAAAAAGCACTGCCAACATCTATATCACACGGAGGCGCGTACATGTGTGCGCGTGAGTATGAGTGTGTCTGTGTGTGCGTGTTGCACGCGCGTGTGTATGAGAGTGGCTGTGTGTGCATGTGTGATATAGATTTCTTTCACAAAGCATACGATAATACCTCCGTACCTCTCTCCATTTCTACCCTCGGTATGTGGTACTCATTCCATATACTTAATTCCAAATTCCAATTCGAACTTCTTATTCCAATCCTATACGTATTAGAATATGCTCCAGTTCTCATTCTTCTTCTTCTTCTTCTTCTCTTTTTTCTGTTTTTTTTTTCGTTTTTTTCTTTTCTTCTTCTTCATGTTAGTGTATTACATTATTTATAATGCGTATATATACGCATTATTAAATAATGTAATACACTAACATGAAGAAGAAGAAAAGAAAGAAAACGAAAAAAAAAAACATATGTGTGTATATATGTGTTTGTCACACATAAAAAAAAAAAAAAAAATGTGTTTGTCAATGGTTACTGCATTCATACACGCGAGCGTGCGCCTGTTTTTTGGGGAGGGAGCGAATTGCCTTCTTCCATAGGTCGAAACTTAGGAATCTACCTTAGGAACGTATCTCCAGGTATATAATGATAGCCTGCGCGATAACATGAGATTCGTTACGGTATTCCGGAGATATCATGGAACGAGTTAACGTCTGTAACGTTGGGTATTCATCAGGAGTAGATAATAGGGAATTATATAGGGTTGTAAGGGTTATTTAGGGCTATTTAAGGGTTATATAGGGGGGAATAATAGCGAATTCCCTATTATCTACTCCTGGTATTCGTGTAACGGAATAGCTAAACCATGCCATCGTATCGTCTAGCATGTTGTAGAGCACGTGTAACATTAGTTCTAGTACTAGAGCCCGCGTACAGTTGGCGCCTGCGCTGCAACTGTACGCGGGCTATAGTACTATGGTACTAGAGCTCGTGTAACATGTGTTCCCAGCACTGGCGCCCACAGGTCTTAAGAAAGTAGAAGCACAGAAGAATAAAATCCTCAGGGATAATAAAAAGCAGGCGCGCTGCATGCTAGGGGGGTCTGGGGGCATGACCCCCCTGAAAATTTTTGAATGGTAGACGTCTGGAGATGCAATCTGGTGAGTCTTGCGAGAGAGATTTAGGAACAAAATGTAGGAACAAAATCTTTTAACCCAAAATTTACTGGAAGCACTGTGCTCCCAGTGCTTCTATCTGCGGGCGCCACTGGTTTCCAGGGGCCCGTTGCCAGAAAAAAATTAGTCTTAGCATTAACCTTAAACTTAAGTTTTTC